GATATATATAGAGAAAGTTATGGCCAAAATACTAAAGCATGTCACTGCAGTCAACATTCTCAACGGTGAGCTCCGCGGCCGCAATCCTTTTTGTGCGGTCCGCGGAGAGGGTCTGAGGGGAGTATATTTAAACGGGACTTTCAGTTGTTTTTCACTTTCCAAAATCCTAAAAACGTGAGAGGTGATTTTCCAAACACTCTTTCTTCTCCAAAACATTAATAAGTGATTTCTAACTCATTTTCTTTACTCCTTAACTTCTTTTTACAAGATTTCATCCTAGAATCTACTGTTTTCATGGTGGAATTGGGAATTTTAGGTCAAACCTAAGAATATTAAAATTTTGGGATTTAGACCTCAAATTGAGGTCGGATTCCAAAACCAATTATATATCCGGGCTCGGGGGATGAATGGTAATCGGGTTTTGGTCCGAATTTCGAGTTTGGACCAAGCGGGCCTGGCGTTGATTTTTGACTTTTTGGGAAAAACTTTAGAAAACTTATTTCCATGCATTATAATTGATTCATTTAGCATTTATTGATATAATTAAGTAACTTGTGGCTAGATACGAGCGAGTTGGTGGTGGAATCAAGAGGTAAAGCGATAGTTGAGGCTTGAATTGTGTTCGTGGCATCGAGGTAAGTGTTTGGTCTAACCTTAGCTTGAGGGATTACGAGTTGTGTCCTATTTGCTATGTGTTATTTGTTGAGTACGACGTATAGGCATGGTGATGAGTATCTATACGTTGGTGTCAAGCATGCCCGTGAGTCTTATATTATGATTATTATGACTCCGTTTGTATTGTTTATGCTTTTTGTGATGATTTCTATTGTTGGGAAAAGTTTGTGGAAGTAATGGTGATATTTGAACATTGAGGAGCATTGGCTCAAGTCGTAAAGTGAATTGTGAAAGAATAATTGGTAATTGAACCTTATAGAGCATTGGCTTAAATTGTAAATCGAGTTGTGAAGTAAATGTAAAAAAGAGAAGAGGATTATGGTATTGTTCCCTTGCCGGGACGTTGTTGCTTTAAATATTGTTCCCTTGTCGGGATGTTGTTGTTTTTAATATTGTTCTCTTGCCGGGACGTTGTTGTTTTGATATTGTTCCCTTTCCGGGATTTTATTGTGATTCATTTATTTCCTTGCCCTTATTGTTTGTGATTTTTGTTTGGGTGAGGAAGAGTCTAAAGCACGAAGGGTGATGCCGTGCATTATTTTGGTGAGAGAGTGTTAAAGCACGAAGGGTGATGCCGTGTATGATTTTGTGAGGAAGAGTGTAAAAGCACGAAGGGTGATGCCGTGCCGCACGATGTACCATTTTGTGCCGCACGATGTACCATTTCGTGCCTTTATATGAGTGATTATGTGAGGTACAAGCACGAAGGGTGATGCCGTGCCAATTATACTGATTTTCATGGTGAGGACGAGAGTAAAAGTACGAAGGGTGATGCCGTGCACTTGTCCTTGATTTTCCTGATTTTACTAGTAATTGAGTTATGGTGTTCTTTACGCTTACTTACTGATTTCCTGTTGTTACTTGATTTTATTGTGATGTTATTGATTCCCTTGCCCAAATTGCTTTATGATTGTTGCTTGGATGAGGAAGAGTGTAAAGCACGAAGGGTGATGCCGTGCATTGTTTTGGTGAGAGAGTGTTAAAGCACGAAGGGTGATGCCGTGCACTTGTCTTTGAATTTCCAAATTTTTATTTATAACTGAGTTATGGTTTCTCTACATTTAATTGTTGGTTTTCTGTTGATACTTGTTGTACCCCGCAGCATGATCCCCCTTCCTATCTTCAATTGAACTATGGTGATCCTTATATTTATGCGTTGTTCTTCTGTTATTATTCGATGTCCCCGCAGCATGTTTCCCCCCTCCCATCCTTAGCTGTACATTTCTGCTTGTATTGTTCCGCCGTATATGATTTAACTGCACAGGTTTATTTTGGTAGTCTGGTCCTAGCCTCGCCACTACTTCGCCGAGGTTAGGCTAGGCACTTACCAGCACATGGGGTCGGTTGTGCTGATACTATACTCTGTACTCTTTTGTGCAGATCCCAGTGTTCTAGATTTCGGACCGCAGTGAGATTGCTGCTTCTGGTTCATCAGGCGACCCGAGGTAGTCCTGCAGGCGTCCGCAGGCCTTGACGCCTCCTTCTATCTATTATTCCTGTTTCTTTCATGTATTTTCAGAGACAGTGTTGTATTATTTCTTTCAGACCTTTATTTGTAATACTCTTAGATAGTCTATAAAATTGTGACACCAGTCTTGGGTAGATTTGTTATGGAATGATATTTGCAGTATTATTAAAACATGAAATTTAATCTTCCGCTTAGTAAATTTTGTTGATTGTTAACTGTTGGTCCTTAATTGTTAACGTATTTAGAATGAAAACAAGGTAAATAATTCAGTTGGTTGGCTTGCCTAGCTTTTACTAGTAGGCGCCATCACGACTCTCGAGGGTGGAAAAACCGGGTTGTGACAAATCTAAAACTCCCACTTTCGAGTTCAATTATAGATTCGTAAATAGTATTCAATTGGTGATCAAGCAATCAAATAATCAAGCGCAACATTGAATAAATAAACCAATACGATAAATCAAGAAATCAAAATTAATTTCCGAATAACAATAGTCATGAAAGAACCACAACGTAGAATGTGAAGTTTAGCTCCACATAGACATGGTAGCAAAACACCAAATCATATAAAGAAACATAAAAGTTACTAAGTTTGGCGGAGGAAAGATGAAATCTGATGAATTCTGGCCTCCACGGCGGCTCCGTGCTCTCCCTCCGTCTAAAGTTTGTCCACTCAAAAATATTCTCCCCATCCAAATTAGGTTTAGGAGCCCTTTTATACAAGTTGGGACCGTGTAGCGCCGAAATAACCATGTCCCGTGTAAAATAGGATACTTCCCCGGCTCTTCGTCCAGTCCAGTGCCTAGCGCTGGACCTGGCGCAGAAAGCAGTGACGATTTTGCCGTTTTTTCCCCTTGCTGCGTTTTGAGTTCATTCTATATATTACTCTTTTGTCTTCCATTTGGGGGGACAAAACCTAAAGGGTGTCCCCCTTTGTCTTATTATTTTTTTTAATTTTCTTTTTGTTTCTTCTGTGTTTTATTTAAATTTGCTCTAAATCTCTTCATCATCATAGTGCTTTATTCCCACACAGCTAAAATATAATATTAAGCACAAAATAATATAATTAATACTTAAAGGACGATTTAAAGTACTAGAATATGAGGTAATAATGGGTAAAATAAATTGTTGTGTTTGTTCCTTTAGTTTCTAAAGTTAGGGGAACTTTGTGCTATATATGGTTATTCACAATACATTAACAGAGAAGCATGGTTAGTGATCACACAAAATCCCACGAACTTCCAATTTGCTAAACCATTACACGATTGCCTTAAAATCGGAGAACAAAGAATGTCAGTTCATAGACATTAAAAAAAGTCATCAAGGTTAGTCCATACGAGAACTATTGATTGTTCCGAGAAGATCATACTTCTTAGTTTTTTGCTATACTTAATCAAAGAACGTCAATACCTGATGCATTTTTTGTAAACAAGGTTGTTTCACGGGAAACTAATGAAGGTATGAAAAATATGAATGGCTAACAGCAATATTGATCATAGAGTAAAATATTTTATTATAAGTTTCTGACTGATGTCTACAATTCTTTATTTCCTCCACACTTCTGCACACACAAAATAAGCTATCAATACCCTTATTTATAATAGTAGAAAACCTATTTCAACTAGAAACAGAAAAGCCTATTTCTATATTCATTCTAACTGCAAATCCTATTTAGACATGAATTAAATAAACCAATTCCTAAATAACTACGGTTTCCTACTATAACTTTGAATTAGTTTTCCAACATATAGGATTTTTGTCTATGGGTTCAGCATTTAAAGTTATGGGTTCATATCAACTATTCATTACAATTTTAGTAATTTTTTATTCATAAATTTATGGTCCGCGTTGAAAGTATTGGGTTCAGTTGAACCCGATGGTTTTATACTGCATCTGCCACTGCTCAGATGAATGAGTGTCCTGAAGCACTTTTCCCTTGTTGTTGTACTACCCGCTACACTCCAATTAAACCTGTTTGTTTCGACAGCATGAATCAAATCAGCATTTATTTAAGTATGTCTGCAGAAGACTGGAATATCATCCTAATAAAATAATATATACAAAGACAGAGAGATGGAGCAACTGTAAAGGCCTTAAGATAGTTCAAAGAGGAAAACATAAGGTTCAGAAAGTAAAGCTTCAGAGAACAAAAGAAGAGAAGTTCCATCTAATTCTGTATTTACAGCAATTTGTATTTGTTGTATCCCTCTGATCATTGCCCTTCGATTTGTCATCATTATGCACAACACTCCGATCCATTAATGTTTATTACCACATGAAAAAGGAATCCTCTTACAATGATTTGGAGTTGGTTTTCCACGCAGGGACTTTAGGGCTTTTGATAGCGACTTTTCAACTGTTAAACGGTTGGCAATTACTCAAATACATAATTAGTAGGATTTTCTAAATGGTGTGACTTTTCAGCAGGAGAAGATATATGTTTTTAAATTTTTTAGATAAATTGTCATTCTAATGGAAGAGATGTGCTAGGTAATTAACTGGTCAATGGACTTCTATAATATATGTAGATTGCCATATTAAAAACAGAGACCTAACTCATATTATCAGTTAAAGTTAAACTATCTCGCGCCTTTTCTTTTCCCAACTCAAACGATTACGGCTTGTAAACTAAGGAAACATCAAACCTTTTTCCATCTAAATTTAGGATTATTATATTTATAAAAAGAGTTCCAAGACCACTTACTCAAATACAGAGGCGGATCTAGAAATTCGGGACGATGGGTGCGCCATTACTTTCAAGATTAACATTTAGTTTGATAATATAAAATTTCACAATCACAACAACTTACCGAGCAAAAAAATAATTAGTTTCATTATCACAAAAACAAATATTATCAATTTACAATTGTACTCGACGAGTTTTCATACTTTGAAAACGATCAATAATAGCATCATTATTTACAGGTGCAAATACCTTACGCTCTATATTGCAAACTAAACAACCATTCAAAAACTCTTCACTAATGCTATTACGTAGATCACTTTTTATGAGCTTCATTGAGGAGAATGCCCTTTCCACGCTTGCAGTAGCAACAGGTAGAATCAAAGTCAACTTCACAAGTAAATAAATATGACACCAAGTTTGATCCAATTTCGTCTCTGCCATCACTATAGCAAGATCCTTCATTCCCTTCAAGTTGATAAATTTGCTATGAGGCATTTGAGCATAGACAATGAAACTATCAAGCTGAAAGCGGAGATCTCGAAGCTTGTTGTCATCAAACTCACTTGGATAATACTCGGCCAACTTCATTATTCTGTCTTTGTCAAAATTAGCAAATGAATCAATCGGATTCAAAGAAGCCATACCAAGGAGTAAGTCACTAGTCACTACATCAAAACGATTATTTAGCTCATGAAGCTGCAAATCAATAGCTGCATAAAATATTTCCACACTAAAGTGATGTGAATATGAAACTCCCGACCTCTTTCATTTCGATCATGGATAGTCTTCATCCATTTTGGGGATCATAATATCATGTTTACCACAGAACGAGTAAACTTCATTCATCAAGAACTTGAATTCACTTTCTCTCATAGTCTGCAATCTTATCTTTGCAAGGTCAAGCAACCTCATAGCATTGACTATGTCTTGATATTTCTTTTGTAAAGCTTTGTTCAATTCATTTGTAAAAAGCAACATCTTGAACATCAAGTTCAATCAAAACACAAACTGAAATTCTTGAATATTACCCAAAAGATTTTTTGCTGCAAATCTATCAAGAGAAAGAAGACTATCTTGTTGCATATCTTTAAGCACGTTAACAATCGGAGAAAATATAATCAAGAAATTTTCCAAGGTCTTAAAATGCGAACCCCAACGAGTATCACCCGGTCGTTGGAGCCCACGTTCTTGATTCAATCCTTGCCCGGTAAGTATTTCTCCAAACTTAAGTAATTCTTCCAACTTCTCTACTTGATGTTGTCGAAGTATTTCCCTGCGTTTAAAAAATGCTCCAATAGTATTCAATGTGTTAGTGACAACATCAAAAAAATTATTCACATCCGGATGCTTTTTAGAAAGAGCTACAAGTGTTAATTGCAACTGATGGGCAAAACAATGAACACAATAGGCAGATGAAATATCTTGTAAAATTAAAAGACTTTAGGCCATTTATTCTTCCTTGCATATTACTAGCTCCATCGTAACCTTGTCCACGTAGCTTGGATGAGCTTAAAGAGTGATCCAAAAGCAAATCATAAATTGTTTTCTGTAATGATAGTGCAGATGTATCATTCACATGGACAATATCCAAAAAGCGCTCAATCACCTCCCCTCTTTTGTTAACATATCGTATAACAAGGGTCATTTGCTCTTTATGTGAGATGTCCTTTGATTCATCAACCAATATCCCAAAAAAGTAATCATCCAAATCTTGGATAATAGCTTTAATTATTTCTTTAGCACAAGCATCCACAATATCCTTTTGAATTGCTGGACAAATCATCATATCATTTTTTGGAGTTTTATGTAATATTACCTTTCCCACATCTAAATGTTTATCCCCATGAAATTCCAAAAGTTCAAGAAAAGACCTTTGTATTCGGAATCTTCACTTTCATTATGACCACGAAATGACAATCCGTTTCTCAAGAGAAATCTTACCACATCAACCGAGGCATTTAAACGTATCTGATGATCACTTTTTACTTTCTCACTTTGCTTATGAAAAGAATATTGAATCGATTGTTCTTGATTTATAAAATCTTGCATCCTATTAAAACATTTGTGATGGATACTACTTACTTTCCCGACATGCGTTGTAAGTCTTTCCGTATCCTTGTTCCAACCCTTAAAACCATCTTTTGTAAATGCATCTCCCGCTTTACCGCGACTTTCAAGTTCATTCTTAAACAAATAACAACACAAACAAAATACAGCATCACTTTTTATGCTATATTCCAACCATTGAGAATATGGACCCTTAAACCAATCGAGATTAAATTGACGTATTTTGTTCCCAAATTTAGTTTTAGGGAAAGCATGGCCACTCGGTTGACAAGCCCCCTTTTGAATATAATGTCTCCTCACTTCATCTCGGATATTAGGGCATACTGAAGAATCGGTATTCTTTCTATGGGATCAGGATTGGGAGATCCTAGCTCAAGAACACTATCAACATTTGATGGAGGGGATAAGATTGTCCCTCTTTGGATTTCAGGAGCTATATTCGAACTAACAGAAAGCCGACTACTACCATTGGAACTTGATTGGCCAATGTTTGAACTGATCACAAATTTATCCATTTTGATGTTCCTACAAATTTAAATATCGCTCATCATCAAAATTCAAATTCATAATAAAACTAAAGGAATCACACTTTTTAATTCATAATAAACAAGAGGAATCACACCCCTTCTGTATTCAAGAAAATAAGGGAATCACACCCTTTCAAACATAATAAAATAGAGGAATCACACCCCTTTCAAGTTCGATTAAAATAAAATGAACACTTAACAGTTCTTCTGCAACTTTTGATAATTTTAACTTTGAGATCAAACGGAAGTGCTTGCCCACTGCCCAGTTCTTCACTTGACATAATCCTGAAACTTTTATATTAAAAGAACCTTTGTTGAAATAAAACCACAAGAAAGAATAAGCTCTTAGGAGCACTTTGTGTATTATGCATATTTTATTAGCTTCAATAGAGTAAATCATATACAATGTAATTCAATATCAATAAAAAATGATTAGCTCAAGAAAAGTTATCAAAATAAATCCAAATTAGAAAAAAATCTCCTTCGTTCAGTAGTTACCGGAAAAAAAAATCCCAAAATCGGAATAAACCTACAAGAAAACTTATTAACTAGTTTAGAAAAAGATTGGACCTTACCTTGGAGAAATTGGAAAATAGCATTGCACAAGCAGTCAGAGAGTAAATGGAGACAAGATGTCAAGATTAGCTTTAGCTTTTAGAACAAGAGACAAGAACAAATCAAAATAAGAACTAGGGTTTTGCTTCTTTTATTTTTTAACGTGTGACCTTTTGGGATAAATTGAGATTAGGAATTAGGGAATAATTTTGATATTTGGGAATTGAGGAACCGTGTGGATCTGTCATCTCTGTGTAGAAGTTGGGCACTGATATATCTTATAGGATATATGAAACGCTGCGTTAGAATAAATAGAAAGAGAAAAAAAAAGATTTAAGAAAAACAAATAAATAACCAAAAGCCAAGCAGGGATTCGATCCCTTGCCCTTAGGCAATTAGACTTTTAGGAATAAGAAGGCAAAATCAGTGCACCACTTCACCCTTTTTGACCATGGGTGCCATCAAATATATATAACTACTTTTTTGCAAATTATGTACATCATATACATATTTTAGCCGAGGGACCATGGGTTCACGTGAACCACATTTTTCACAGTAAATCCGCCTCTGCTCAAGTAATCATACTTAAAAATTTGTTATTTGACCAAGAGAGAAGTTCTAATACTCTGCTTAGTTATTCGTGATGAAGTGTCAAAAACATCGTGGGAAACCTCGTAAGGGGCTGAAAAATAAAAATGGAACTATTATTAGACATCTCGGGTTTTCTCCTAAAGATATTCCTAGGAAATCTAGGACAAAAACAACCGTAAAAAATATTTTGAAGAAGGATCAAAAGTTTAATCCATCAACTAATCAGATTTGCTAACGGAACGATACTATTACAAAGAGAAAAGAGAAATAGAATGGTGTGCAAAAGCCAAACATTTATTACTGTAAACCAATTACAGAATACGTGATTCCAGGACCTATTCCTCATCTTGATGCATTGATGTGGGATGAAGATATGTTTATCAACTTTTGGGATAACATTCCAGACTTGGATATATAGACAGAGGCAGATGTACCATATACATACTTGTTTGCAAGTGCATACATTGTATAATTAGAGGCGGATTAATTACCATGTACACATAAATGTGGAGTTTAATTTATTGGTTTTTATGCCACCTGTTTTATTTTAAAGTCTCTGATTGAACATAATTTTTGAATTTATTGAAAGTAAAGCTATGATGGGATCTCCATGTCTTCACCTTATATTTCTTGTGTTTTGATGATCTAACAAACTTATGTTTTGATGATCTAACAAACTTACTGTTAAGAACCAGATAGGGAACTTCACTCACTTGGTACACATTTCAAATGAACGAAGTTCAGTTTGAACTCCAACTAATGAACTACTACAAAGAGGAATACGACAAGGACATTATCCCTTGGTGCTCTCTCACAGAAGTACAAGTCAACAACTGGAACACAATTGCAGAGAGTGACAGCCTGCTACTGTTCACGCGATAGTGCAGCAGTTATTTCCCATTGAAGAGGCTTGTACTAAGAATTGACATCATCCTTGTGATGTCTTTGGTAGTATAATAACATGATGCAAGGCACAAGATATTAACTTGAGCATTTACTGATATTCTCTCATTCTTTAAAAGAGTCAATCTAGCATTGAAGTCACAAGTGTATCAAGAACAAGAAGACAACTCCACTAAAGGATCAGTTTCACAATGAGTCTATGTGTATCCGTAGTTGAGTTGTAATCTTGTTATTTGCTCTTCATTGTAACTCCTATCTTGCTTTCTAAGAAGCTGTATTTTAGGAAACCCAAAAATCACAAACCTTCTAAGTTTGTGTTGTGACTAGAGTTAATCATAAGATAAAGTCTTTGTAACTAGTTAGTGACAAAGTGGCTTTTGGTAAGTGTACTACAAGTTAGTTGAGTTAAAGTCTTTGTAATAGAGTCATTACAAAGTGGCTTGTAATAGTGTGATTACAAGTTAGTGAAGTTGAAAGCCTACAATTGTAGGTCGTGATTTCTGTCTCCTTGAGTGGGATTTTTCCACGTAAAAATTCTGTGTCTCATTTACTTTCTGCTTCCTAGTATTCTTAGTGGAAAATCATAGAGGACCAGGTACTCTATAGTTTGGTGGACTCATATAAACTAACAATTGGTATCAGAGCAGGTTCTTTCTAAAAGGTTAACACCTAGAAAGGATCTCAATGGCTGCTCCACCCAACCTTGAAGAAGGACAATGAACCTACAAACCTCCTAGATTCAATGGTCAGTACTACGGCTGGTGGAAGACTCATATGCATGATTTCATAATGGTTGAAGACTTAGAATTGTGGGACATCATCAATGATGGTCCACATGTTCCTATGAAGAAGCTTGGAGAAACTGGACCAATGGTGCCGAAAGACAGAAAAGAGTACAGTGATATTGACAGAAAAGCCGTAAAAAGAACTATCGTGCCAAGAAAATCTTGGTATGTGGTATAGGACCTGATGAGTACATGAGAGTCTCAACCTGTGATTCTGCCAAAGAAATATGGGAAGCATTGCAAACCGCACACGGAGGAACTACTCAGGTTAAACAGTCCAAGATTGACATGATCACCACTAAGTATGAGCTCTTCAGAATGAAGGACAATGAGTCTATACAAGATATGCACACTAGATTCACATCCATCATAAATGAGCTTCATTCACTTAGAGATGTTATTCCCAGAAACAAGCTTGTAAGGAAAATTCTCAGTGTTCTACCTGACTCCTCGGAGAGTAAGGTGAATGTCATCACTGAAGCTAAAGATTTACAAACTCTAACCATGGATGAGCTAATTGGTAATCTGAAGATATACGAGATGAAAAGAATGAAAGACAGTGAAAGGAGAGAGCCAAAGAAGGAAAAGAATCTGGTGCTCAAGGCTGAAAAGAGTGACCCAAGTGAAGAAGATAGTTATATGGCCTATCTTACTAAAAGGTTTCAAAAGATGGTTCGAAGAAATGGTGGTATACCAAAGAGGGGCAGTTCAAGTAAAGCAAGGAACAGTGATCTCTGTCACAAGTGCAGAAAGCCAGGGCATTTCATCAAAGACTATCCACTTTTGAAATAGGAGCAATAGAAACAAAACCCTGACAAAGCAACAAAAAGGAACCCGGTGCCAGACAAATGATTTGGTTGAAAAAGTGCAGCTGACAATATTGTGAAGCAGGCTCTTGCTGCTTGGGAGACTCCTCCAGCGAATCAGAAAGGGAACCAGATGCAGAAAATAGCTCCATGATGGCAGTAGAAACTGAAGCAACAAAATATGACTCACTGTTTGCACTGATGGCTCAGTCTGACGAAGATGAAAAGGATGAAGATGATGAGGTAAATTTCAGGGATGTTCAGAGAAATCTGAAATCCTACTCTTCTAATAAGTTAAGGTCATTAGCAAATGTTATAATTGATGCATATTATAGTCTTATTGATGATAGGGAGATCTTGACCATAGAGCTAGGAGATGCTGAACAATCTAGAGATGACCTGGTGGTCTGTGTAGTGGATCTAAATGAGACCATAGCCAATCTTGAAAAAGAAAAGGAGGCTTTTAATGAAAAAATAAGCAGTGTAGAAAATGAGATAGATGAGTTGATGGTAGTGGTTGTTGATTTGAAGAGAACCATAGAAGGCTTTAGCAATGAAAAGCACACTCTAGAAGAGAAAATTGCAGCTACTGAGCAAGAGAGGGATGCCTTTTTAGTGATAATCACTAACCTAGAGGAAACTATTGAGAGACTCAAATCAGAACTTAGGCCTGAAAGTATTGAGAAAGGGAAAGAAGTAGCCAGTGAGTCACACATCAAGCTTGAAACAGAATTGAATGATGTTAAAACTAGTCTATGTGGTGAACTTGAGAAAAATAGGCAGCTTCAAGCTGAACTAAAAAAGGTAAAAATGGATCTTGAGAAATCTCTCAAGTGGACCTGGTCCTCTGATGCTGTCACTGCCATGTACTTCAACAATAGTGGAAACAGGCAGGGAATCGGGTCTCAAAAGGAGAAAACTCCTTACAACCCTCATAACAAGTATGTCACAATTCCTGATAACTGGCTTTGTACCCATTGTGGGAACAATGGGCACTTCAAAGAAAATTGTCAAGCCAGGTTTCAATCTGTTCAGAAAAACAAAATTTTTTCTGACAAAGTGACTACTAAAAAGGGACCAGGTACCACTCGCAAAAATTGCATATTGCCTGCATGGACTAGAAAGGCTCTTATCCACCTTTTTCCTCATTACAAGGGACCCAAACTAGTTTGGGTTCCTAAATCTAACCCATAATTGAGATGTGCAGGGAACAGTGAGAGGAAGCGGACTACAATGGATCATGGACAGTGAATGCTCAAAGCACATGACTGGAAACACCATGGATTTTCTCTTACCGAAAGCCCTGCAAGGAGGGGATGTACCCTTTGGAAATAGAACGAAGGGGTACATTCTAGGTATCGGCAAGAAAACAAGGTAGAAGTTCGTGTCTAAGCTGTTGATATGAGATGCTTGAATGCAGTTGACAATGATTAGAAGACTTGGCATAAAGGATTGGGGGCATACAAGTGTCTCACTTCTGGATAAATTGATGAATAAGGACACAGAAACCATTTGAACTCCTTCATGTTGATTTGTGTAGTCCTATAAGAACACTAAGCAGGAGTAAAAAAAGGATCTTTGTGATTGAGGATGACTACTCAATATTCATTTGGGCACTATTTCTGAGGACAAAAGATGAGACTCCGAGGTATTTGTGAACTTTGTCAAGAAAATCCAAGTGAAGATGAGATTTAAAGTAGCTTACATCAGATCTGACCCTGAAACAAAATTTGACTACGCAAGGACTCCACAGCAAAATGGTGTTGTTGAAAGAAAGAACAAAACTCTGGAAAACATGGCACTGACAATGTTCACTGTCGGTGGAATAGCAAAAATTTCTGGGCAGAGGCAATAAACACTGTGTGCTACTTGATGAACAGGTGCATGATCAGATCTCTCCTGAACAAAACCCCCTATGAGTTGCTGGCTGGAAGAAAACCCAAGTTGACTCACCTAAGAACATTTGGGTACAAATGCTATGTTCTCAAGAATAGAAAGGATCGGCTTGGTAAATTTGATGCCAAGAGTGATGAAGGAATATTTCTGGGGTATTCTTCTCAAAGTAAAGCTTACAAGATACACAACAAGCGAACACAATGTATGGAAGAAAGTGGTCATGAGATGTTCAACAAGACTCCTTCTAACAAGGAAGGAAACAGTAATGATCAAGATAATGAACCACTTTTGGTTCCTGGGAGATATCTGATATTTCAAATGGCAAGGGTAATATGATGAGTCAGATGAAGGAGACAGGTAAGGACAATGAAACTTCTTCCTTCACTTCTCAAAAGGAACCTGGTACTTCAATTATTATCAACTAAAGCAGAAGAAAGAGTTGGAGATGTAGTGCAAGAGACTTCACAAGTAGCAAAACAAGAAGTGCAGGGAAACGTACTGAGTTCCTCTACAAATTAAAATCTCAGCTCCCATGAGGAAATGCACCATTTTGAAGGAAACAAAGTTATCTAGCGGTCAAGAAGAACACATCTGGAATGACTCATTCAATTGGTTCATCTCATTGGATACGAGGAAATACAACCCAGCAGTTCTCTCAACAGCGGAAGCAGACGCTCTTAACTTGGAAAAGAACCTGGTCCATGAAGAGGATCAAACTGATGCATGTCTATAGTTGTCTCAAAAATAATGTAAGGGGGACTTATCTGTATGAGACTTTGCTGCCCAAGAACATCAAGTTGCAGATATCTTTACCAAAGGCATTGAGCGAGGAAATTTTTTGAAAGAAACATGGTGAAGCTAGGGATGTTGAAGCCTAATTGAGAACCTGATACCTCATCAATTGGCTATGAAAATCTCTTTCAGGTAAAACTAGCTAAAGTGTTTTCTTGCCAAACCTAACTCATATCGATACCATTGCAGGTAAACACGCATGAAGATCATAGAAGCTGAAGGTACAATGATGAACTGCGAAAGAAGAGCTGCTAAAATCTTTTTAAAATCGTTCGAGCATTAGGTTCCTGTACCACAGGTTAGTAGTAATGTGTTGTCTTGCATGCTTTCTCAAAAGGGTTAACAAAATTAATTCAACTGCCACATCATCCAACTTTTCAAAGTTTGCATGTCATGTCTTGTCTTTCAAATCCCTTCACCTCCTCTACACGATAACATTTTCCCACAAACCTACCGCCATTTTCAAAACCCTTCAGAACTCGTTTCTCTCTTTTCTCATCATTAGCTCTTCTTCCCATAAAACTCTCTTTCTTTCTCACAGCAAGTCATGAAACTTCACCTCTTGTGTATCCCTGTGATCCTCTCTTCATTTCTTTTTCACTCAACCTCCTTACCAAATCCTCCTACAACGGCAATCGAACGATCGCTTACTTCTTCCACCATTAACACTACTCTCACTCCCTCATCATCCTTAAAATCATCACCTGAAATTCACTGTTCCATTTTTCCCAATGCTACTGCACCCACACCTGGTCCCTCCTGACTTTCTATTGTCTTTTCTTCTCTATCAAACTTTGTCTTCCTTCCATGTGTTGAAAACCCCATGTATTCTCATTCCTCTGATCTCACCAAAGAACACTCAGGATGTGTTCCCTCTCAAGTGTCAGAGGTCTCTGAGGATGATCCTGATCAATATCTGAACTCCTCCATTTTGGACTTAGTTGCTCTCACAGAGTCACCAGAAAAGGAAGCAGCACACAATATCATGGCTATTGTTGCTAGGAGTCTGTTGAATGAAGGAGCCTATCCCTTGTCTGAGTATCATGGGGAATATACTCTATTCCTAGGCGATGAAAGAACCACGGTACTCTTCGAGTCTCTAGTCCATGAAAAAGTCACAGAAAAACCTATTGAAGTACCTGATCTCTTCCAGATAAATCAACTTAGGAACCTCATGTTTATCCTAAACCCTTGGAATTCTCTTCCAAGTCACCCACTTCCAAGTTGCAGCAGAAAGAGGCTTACGAGTCTACCTTGCATAAAGGTAAGAGCAGTGTCAAAACAAAAAGGAAGAGGTCGATGAAACAAGGGGAGTTTGTGACTAACAAAAGTATTCCAGTGGCTGAGAATGACAAGGATGCTCTAGAGGAACCTAGTTCCTTGGTAAAAGGATCTCTAAAAATCCAGAAGTCTGTAGATGGAGCTTCCGATGAAGCTATTGAAAAACAAAGTGAAACATTCGTGAAGGGTAGTAGTAAGTCTAAGAAGAGTGTATCTGAGCAAGCTATATCTGAAGGAGATACTGTGGGATTTGTAAGTTGGAAAGGGAAATCTGTTGAAGAATCTAGAAAATGAAAACGGGAAACTGTAGGGGAACCTGGTTCTCTGAAGACCATACCCAGTGACAGTGGTCTTTGGCAGGAGAGATTGAGAACTCAGAAAGTCTTGTGGGGTCGTATGTTTGATCCGGCAATCTCAGAGATGGCAGGTATGAGGCAAATTCTGGAGATAGTGGAATTTTAGCAATGGGAGCACTTGTTTCAGGAGAACATGCCTATAGTGTACGAAGATGCGGTACAAAATTTCTACGCATCTGTTTTTACTGTTGAGGGGGATCACATCTGTGTGCTAGTAAATGGAGTAGACATTGTACTTGATGCTTCAACATTGGGGAAGGTTCTCCAAATTCCCTGTGAAGGAATGTCCTCTGTCAAAGGTGTATATGGTGCTAATTTCAGGAGAGCTATCATGAAAGAGCAAGCTATTCAGCAGGGGGAACAGGTTCATAAAAAAGTGCTACTTCCTGAGTATCAGCTTCTCTTTGAGCTGGTTAATAAGGTATTTTTACCTCGCTCTGAGAGGCGGTCTATTGCTACAAAGTCTGATCGATCTGGTTCTAATAGAAGATCTTGATGAGTTTTTTCCGATCAACCTGCCAGCAATCATGACAGATCATATGCAAAAGGTGGCAAACTTTAAAAGTGGGAATCATGGGCTTCCATATGGATTCCTCCTCACTCAAGTGTTTAAGTTTTACAAGGTTCCCTTGGGTAATCCCAGAGTGGGCACACGCAAGCAAACCTTCTCTAAAACTACTCTGGAAGAATGTGAGTGTGTAAAAAAGGTTGGTGGAAACATTTTGACTATTTCTCAGCTGATCAATGCTCAAAATGTTGCTTCTGAAGAGATCAGATAGTTGAGGGCTCAGAACGCCATACTGGAAACCCAGCTTAGTCAAGCTGTTAAAGGACCCGATCTCATTAATTTCACAAATGAAGAAGTTGACCACTTGACAAAAGAAAATGATAAGCTTCGCGCAAAACTGCTCGAGGAGCAGCTGTCTGCAAATGCCCGACTGGACCTAATCTAAAGACACTTGCTGCTCTCCACCCCAGTCTTCCTCTTCTAGTGCCCCTTAGATTCCTCCTTGTGATCAGTCATCTTATGTTATGATGTTTTGTGGCTGTTGTTTCTATTTTTTCTTTATCCTTTTACTGATGGCATGCTGGATTTCACTGTTACTGCTCCTATTTTGCTCATTCCATTGTTCATATCAATGAAACAGCTCCTATTTTTGCTTGCACGTTATTGTTTTCCTTAGGCTTCTCTTTTCTGTCATATTGTGTGTACATATGTGGCATGAGTTGACTGTACTGGACTTCTTTATGTTGTTTGCCTACTTGTATATTTTTACTGATGCCAAAAAGGGGAAGATTGTTGAAACGGGGGACCTAATTAAGGGGGAATAAAAAGCAAAAAGTCAGGGGGAACTTGGTGACCAATTGATTGAAACAGGGGATCTGATTGAGGAGAAACTTTGGGTAGTTCCTGGTACCTCATCTGGTTATTTATGCTCTAAATAGATACTATCAATGCCTAAGTTTTTCATCATCGAAAAGGGGGAAATTGATGGGATCTCAATGTCTTCACCTTATGTTTCTTGTGTTTTGATGATCTAACAAACGTATGTTTTGATGATCTAACAAACTTACTGTTAAGAACTAGATAGGGAACTTCACTCACTTGGTACATATTTCAAATGAACGAAGTTCAGTTTGAACTCCAGCTAATGAACTACTACAAAGAGGAATACGAAAGGGACCTGATCCCTTGGTGCTCTCTAACAGAAGTACAAGTCAACAGCTGGAACGCAATTGTAGAGAGTGACTGCCTGCTACTGTTCATGCGACAGTGCAGCAGTCATTTCCCATTGAAGAGGCTTGTACTAAGAATTGACATCATCCTTGTGATGTCTTTGGTAGTATAATAACATGATGCAAGGCACAAGATATTAACTTGAGCATTTAGTGATATTCTCTCAAGCTTTAAAAGAGTGAATAGCATTGAAGTCACAAGTGTGTCAAGAACAAGAAGACAACTCCACTAAGGGATCAGTTTCACAATGAGTCTATGTGTATCCGTAGTTGAGTTGTACTCTTATTATTTGATCTTCATTGTAACTCCTATCTTGCTTTCTTAGAAGTTCTATTTTAGGAAACCCAAAAATCACAAACTTTCTAAATAAGTTTGTGTTGTGACTAGAGTTAGTCATAAGTTAAAGTCTTTGTAACTAGTTGTGATAAAGTGGCTTATGGTAAGTGTACTACAAGTTAGATGAGTTAAAGTCTTTGTAATAGAGTCATTACATAGTGGCTTATAATAGTGTGATTACAATTTAGTGAAGTTAAAAGCCTACAAATGTACGTCGTGGTTTTTGTCCCCTTGAATGGGATTTTCCACGTAAAAATCCCGTGTCTCTTTTACTTACTGCTTCCTAGTATTCTTAGTGAAAAATCATAGAGGACCAGGTACTCTAAAGTTTGGTGGACTCATATAAACTAACAAGCTACTTAGGAGACATTTCATCACACTAGATAAAAGTTCCATCCCTACACGCCAACATCTTGCAATGGAGCTAGACATCTTTAATGTGTTAGGTTGATTATACATAATTCACCTTGAACTTGTACCGAATTTACAGTTACGCATTTAAACTTTGTGAGTGACCAAATCCACTCTTGTAATTTCCCAATGTACTTTAAAAAGATACAAACGACAAAGAGTGATCCTGGAAACCAACATGCTTAAGGTTACGATAAACAAAGGTTCTAAACATTTCACATATCACAGTTCAACATCCCAGTAATCGGAGCCAGCCAGACCACTTTTTGTGGGATTTCCTTCTCTTAATCCTACTCATGCTAGTATTTTGTTCTTTCTTTTCTGTCAAAGATACTGCATTAATGGACAAGCTTTTTTCCTGCAGATCAACAATTTCAATCAAGAGTTAAGTTATTTACACTATCATATAAATTGACCTACAATAACAAATTAATAATCTTCATATCCTGCATGTTTGATGTCATACTTGAAAAGAGAGTGAAAAATTATTATAACCAGTTAATTTGCAATAATATCGTAAAATATTTTTGCACTATTAACGTATATTATTAACTTAAATCCTACTGATAATATGATAGTTTAGAAAATTAACTTGTTATACACAATCCTTCTATGGTAATCTCGTGGTAGTCCTATTAATTAAACAGATAAATTCTACCAGTAGTATGTATATTCTATAAGACACAAATCAAATACATATTATTAACATGATAACTTTTTCAATTGTGCAACTCACCAATTACTAAATAGACATTAAGAAGTGATGGACTAAAAATTCGTTAACTGACACATGCATAACAAGCTTATATTACGCGTATTAAATTTCGTGAAACGTGCGATAACTAGCTAGATGTAGCATATTATTTTTTTTGTACCTCAACTGCAACAGCAAGAGGGTCTTTGATATTCTCATGGAGATTTTCTTTTTCGTCCTCGTCCTGACCTGTAAGTACCGTAGAGGTAACTGAAGTATGCCCTGACTTCTCTAAAGAAGAAAGTACACCTGTTGATGAGCTCGACCCTGACAATTTTCCTTCATCCATATCTAGGCTTATCTGGCTTAACTGCAATAGAAAACCAAATATTTTTTACATTATGATTGCATAGAACTTAAACTACTTTTTTAAAAACTTTTATATACGTGCAAAAATATTTTGACAATATCGTCCTATAAAAGACAATACATGTAACTGTCCAAAAAACAAATGGAACCAATAACATGAACAATAAGGCAAGTAACAAGCTAGACAATATGTTAAATTAATTGATAGTGTAAAAATTCATTACTGCCAGTATATGTTACTATATCTTTGTTAAACCTGCAAAACTCGAGTTTCAAGGACGGAAAGTCGCTCCATGAGTGTGCCTTTGTGATGAACTTGTTCCAGAGCAGAGGATAGAGTCAGAGTCTTGCACTGATCCTCTGATTGTACTTCCTCTTTCTTATTGGGAGAATGTTTTCCTGAAAGACCATGTTTCTCTTCTAGAAGCTGCAGCTGCATCTCCACGATTTCACAGTTAGTTAGCAAAAATTATTTTACCCTTAATGACAAGTTTTTATGGCTAAACAAATGTTAGTAACATTTAAAGTCACAATTTTAAAAAAAAATTATTTCTTTCTTAAATTCCGTACTTGGCCGAAAACTACCTTAATTTGATATCTAGTGGAGGAAGAAAGATCAACTTACGAGACGATCAAGTCGATCTAATCGTGGAAGAGCAGGCAAGGAAGAAGCCAAGTCTTGATTTTCTTGTTGGATCATAATGCGGACCAAACAAGGGCCTTATTTTTCTCTACTACTATAATAATATACGCGTACAAATTTATGAATATATAATGTTTTTTTGTGCCAATATTGCTATCAAGTCTCTCTTTCTTGCGTATAAAAGAAGAGAGAGAATATATGCAGAAATGGACACAGAGAGCTTCTGGAATCTGAACAGTGATAGCTAGCTAGCTTTTAAAGAAGTTGGTGATACTTAAGAGCAGAAGCCAATTATTAACAATGGGGACGTGTGGGTATTAAATGACAACCAACAAGCCATACCCTTTTGTCCAATGGCGAATCCAGAAATTTCCTTAAGGGTGTTCAAACTTGAAAGAAGTGAAAAAAAATTTTCAACAAAAAGTGTTTAATATATGTTATATACTCCTAAAACCCAATATTTTATCTATATATGCAGTGTAATTTTCCGATGAAGGGTACCCTTTAAGACATGTATCCTCGCCCCTACTTTTGTCATCTTAATTTGCTCTTCAACTTGCAGATTTTTTTTTTAAATTTTTAATTCTTATCTTATCATGAGATATATTTCATGATATCTATCATTCTATCTGAACGACTTGCCCGTTCGCTTGCTTCCTGCCCTTTCTGCGAGAACAATTATATCTTGGCAAGTCAAAGTTTGTCGCTTTGTGTAAGTTTCTAAAAATTATTGATCCTAATTAGCTAACTTTCAGCGAAAGAAGAAGCTCTCACATAAATACAATTGTTCTATTTCTATGATCAATAAGAAATGTCAGTTTTACCTGAATAGAAGATACAGGTTGGCAATATGATATCGGTTAGCTATTAGGAGAGACCGCCATTGCTAGCATTTGGTTGGGTATGTCATGCATTTGCATCAATATATATGTATTCACGACATACAATTACACGAGCATACCATGCATATTTGATTACTATGAGGTCGGATGCCGGCCATGGAGGCTATCAAAGTTTCAGTGTCAGGTGGTATCTCTATTACTTTTTTTTTACATCAGCTATGTATGATTCTACTTTCTGCCATACATACTAGTACATTTTTATTCGTACTGATGTCCCGTTGCCTGGGAACACTGCATTTTTGTTTCATGAGTGCAGGTCAAGGTAGGGACTATGATCGACCCCTCCGTTACGATTTTGGGGTTCAGCTGAGAGTTGGTAAGCTCCACCTCTTCCTGGAGCTTTCATAGGATGGTTACTTTTGTTGTACAGTTTGGGTATAATCGGGGCCTTGTCCCGACAGTGCTTATGATACTCTTAAAGGCTATTGTGGACACAGTATTCTGGGTTTCTTTTTGCAGCTTCCAGTCTCCAGCCCATAGGCTTGGCATGTATATATATGTGTGTAGGCATGTATGTCTCCAGTCGCAGCCTCGTCGGCCAGCTAGTACTTTATTGTTTTGGCTCATCTACCTTTGTTTATATGGCTTATTGTTATTCAGGTCATGACTTTAACGGTCCAGGCTTAGTATTTCAGATGTTGTGCTGCCCGATCTGTTGGGCCCCCAGTTTAGATAGCTAGTATGTTTAGTGGCTAACTCGATCGAATACAGTATCGAGTGCCAGTCGTGCCTCCCCTAGTTTGGGGCGTGACAAACTTGGTATCAGAGCAGGACGTATCTCAGGGGATCACAAGTCGTGTCTAGTAGAGTCTTGCTTATGGGTGTGTTTTGCACCACACTTATAATCAGGAGGCTATGAGGCATTTAGGAATGATTACGTTTCTTTCGATTAATAGATTGTGCTATAGAGCGATGTTATAAGAAGATATGAAATCTAAATCATGCTTTGTGTTTCTTATCGAACAGGCTACCTACGCTCAGGAGATGGCGCAGCGAGAGATAGGTATGGATCCGGGGGAAGGTACCAGTCGTGCCCCACCGTGTCAGAGGGATAGATTTCCCTTAGAGGCACACAGTGAGTCTCCAGTGCCCCTAGTTTCAGCTTCCCCAGCACTTGTTGGAGCCCAGGGAGATGCAGTACCCCCAGCCTCACCAGTTCCATTAGTACCTGAGGCAGCTAGAGACACAGGACCTCCAGCACCTATTGTTCCCCATCAGAGACTGGGGAGCAGGGGATAAGGGAGGCAGTTCAGTTGCTGACTAGGATGGTTTCTATTCATGAGCGACAGCTAGAGTCGGGAGTAGATGCCCGGAGAGATCGGACAGGAAGCTTGACGGTACGAGAGTTTCTTCACTTGGCCCCTCCATTATTTACAGGATCCAGTTCCATTGAGGATCCCCAGGACTTTATAGACCATATGTATAGAGTATTGAGGGTGATGCATGCCTCCGTCACCGAGGCTGTGGAGTTGGCTTCTTTTCGACTACGTGATGTAGCCGTCCTATGGTTTGAGGCATGGGAGAGATCTAGAGGACCTGATGCTCCGCCAGCAGAGTGGGGGGACTTCTCTGAGGATTTTTAGCCCATTATTTGCCATGGGAGGTTCGGGAGGCCCTTCTTGACCAGTTTCTTAGCCTGAAGCAGGGGATATGAGTGTGAGGGATTATAGCCATAAGTTTAGTTCTTTGGCGAGGTATGCACCAGATATCGTACGTACCATGAGGGCTAGAGTTCATCATTATGTGGATGGTTTGGGGGATCATCTGATTAGAGACTGTAGGGTAGCATCCCTATCGGATGATGTAGATATTTCCCGCATACAGGCTTTCGCTCAGACTACAGAGGACCTTTCTCGTCGGATTTGTGATACTCGCACGGATAGGGAGCAGAGTAAGAGGGCTCGTACTATGGGGTCTTATAGGGAGCCACGGGGTGATTTTAGGCCCCCAATCCATCGATATCCACCTCGGTCAGCAGGTAGTTTCCCACCACAGATGCAGGGCCAGCGGTTTGATCGTTATATTCAGTCAGGACCGGGGCAGAGCTCAGGCCAGCCCGAGGGCCGTCGACAGGAGCGTTCCACACAAATGAGATAGCATACTCCTCCATGTACTCAGTGCGGTAAGCTGCACACTGTGCAGTGTAGACAGGGTTCGAGTGCATGTTATCATTGTGGGCAGATAGAACATTTTATTAGCAGGTGCCCGGGGTTAGGCAGAGGTGCACCAGCTCAGCCTTCAGGATCCACAGTAGCCTCTTCGCCCTCAGTCCGTGCTCCCCGACCAGGTCCACAGTCTACTCAGGGCCGTGGTAGGGGGAGAGGTGGAGGAGACACCTCAGGTTCTAGTGGTGGTCAAAACTGCTTTTATGCACTCACAGGCTGACAGGATTCAGAGGCATCCCCAGATGTTGTCACAGGTACAGTGACAATACATTCTCATGCCATTTATGCATTGATATATCCCGGCTCTACATTTTCATATACTTCCTCTTCCTCCACTTTATATTCTGGTATGCTTGACATGAGAGTCCTGAAGTTTTGTTGCCACAATGTCATAGTTGAGGTGTCCTACGCCAGTTGCGATCCTAATTGTAGCTAATATGTCTAATCGAGTAGTTACAATCGATGTTAATTAATGACCGTCCCAACCTCTATCGATTTTAGTGAATTGTGGTTATGCCTACGACTTCGATGTATTATGGGTACTTGAGATTGTTGGAGCTTTTTATCTAATATTGATGTCTGCAAAAGTTGCGTCGATTTCATTTTCACTGGCGAGCCTTGCCAATTGGAATGGAAAGTTAATGCAGCCACGCCCAAGGGGTAAGTTTATTTCATACCTTAGGGCTGAGAAGTTTATTGCTAAGGCTGTACTATACCGATCCTGGTTCGTGTCAGGGATATAGTAGGAGCCAGCGCACTCTCTCAGTCGGTTTCTTATTGCGAATGAATTCCGAACGGTATTCCTAACGATGCTTCCAAGAAATTCCCCCTAAAGGGAAAGTCGATTCTCGCTACTAGATTTGGCTTTCTGAATACACCATGCCTATATCCATTCCTCCCTACAGAATGGCTCCTGCAGAGCCTAAGGGGAATTGAAGGGAAGACAACTGAAGAGGAGCTTGCTCGGACTAAAGGCATTATTAAGGCGCATATTTGTACACTCCCATTGGGGTCGTCCAGTGCTTTTTGTTTCGAAAGAAGAAGATGGCTTCCTTTGCGGATTGTTCATTGACTACAGGCACAGCTAAATAAATCACTAATCCGAAATAAGTATCCTTTTCCACGGATTATGAACTTGTTCGCGCCAGTTACAAGGGCCAAATGCTTTTTCCGACTAGATCGACTTGCAATTCGGTTATCATCACCTACGATCAGGGAATATTGATATCCCAAAAACAACATGTTAGGACGAGGTATCGGCCATATACTTTGAATTCACTTGTCATTCTTTCAGGCTACATACCCAGCAGCCTTTATGGATACTTATGAACAGGGTATCAAACCATTCTTGGATAATTTGTGATTTGTGTTTTATATGACAACACCTTATAATATTCACTGACTCAGGAAAGCCGAGCATCATGAGCTGCGGACACACTTGCGAGCCTGTATTGCAGACTCTCCATGTAAGAGTTATAATGCTAAATTCTCTAAATGTGAATGATTAGTTGGCTAACTTCTATACGCTTTTCTTGAGTCATGTTATTATCCGAGGAGATGGTATTCAAGGTTGATGGCCAAGATTGAAGCTGTGATGACTTGGCCGAGGCCCTCGCAATCGACCGAGGAGTTCGTTAGCTTTATTAAGGGCTTGGAAGGGTATTGACCGCGAAAAAAGGTTTGTTTGTGGAGGGATTTTTCCTCTATCTCTCGCACCATTGACAAAAACTGACACATAAGGGAAGCTTAAGTTTCAGTGCCTGAAGGACATGTGGAAACATGTTTTCAAGGAAGCTAAAGAAAGGCTTACGACGGCACCTGTTTGACTTTTCCGGATGGCAACGGGGGTTTGTTGAAATATTGTGATGCCTCAAAATTGTCCTAGGTGTGTGTCTTATGCCAGCATGGTAAGGTTTATCACGTACGCTCCAAACAGTTGCGGACATGAAAGAACTATCTCCTAACCTCCACGCAGATCCTTGAGTTTAGCCGCAGTTTGTCTTTGCCTAAAGATTTGCGCATTATCTATATGGGGTTCATATT